TTCCCTTGTAAGCAGGCCCATCCCATCCCTTTTAGCTGTCAGAAAATGCTCTAGCAGTTACAGGACACCGCATCTTTGCGTATTTTATATGCCACAGTTCACAGAAAATTCATGTGAATGACTTGCAAAATTGCACTTATAAAGGAATACACACACGTAGACAGTTTTCATTTGTTTCAAATCCACTGCCCCTGCTTCCTAACAGGAACCATACCGGGATTAAACCAGCAGCACCCTGAGGGATTTCAGAGGTTGCTACATTTTGAGCTTTTTGTTTCCTCAGCCCATTGTCCAAAAAACTTAGACTTTCACTGACCACTTCTAAAGCAGTCTGGAAAAAAGTAACTAAGAAAGAATCCTGTATTTTCCTACATACTTCCCCTACATACATATCTGGGTATTTTATGACACTTGTCTCAATACATATATTTTTATACCTCTACGGCTATACAAGAGGGCAATTAAGCGTATATCCAATTTTCATGCTCAGAAGGGATGAATTTCCCAATCTAGCCTCCTCTTCAGAAACAAAACCTTCCAGGAACAAAATGCAGGCTATGGGTATAAGCACTTCAGGAGAGCAGTCAGTTTCTAAAACAAAGATCAGGTAGGGTAGGTTTGAGAGGCCCAGAATCCTGCGTGTTCATCTCAGCATAAGGAAATGAAAACTGAATACTTGACAAAATAAACAATCTGTTTCTAAAGTGGTGTAAGATGCACACAGCAACACCATCTGGGATCAGACCATACGTGAGGCTGGAAATGGTGCCAGCGAGACAATAAGCGCTTTGTGCTCTGAATTGATTTTGAACTGGTGCTCTGGTCACCTGCTAAGCAGTAACAGGGTCATGTTTGGACTAAACAAAAACTAGGGGTGGTGGTTGTTTGTTTGTTTGCTTGGGGGGAGGGACAGGCTGAAAGATACTCTGCTGTCCTTTCACATCTCAAAACGTTCCTCAGTAAAACTGAATGTGTTTTCCCACACAACTTTGGCTGTACGCACACAGACTGGGTCACTCCTTTTCCACACTGTTCTCAGCAGCTGGGAATGATGGAAATGACACTATAGCTTAGCGAGAGCATTCCCCACTATGTTCCTCTATAATAAGTGCTACAGGACCGAAGCCTCTCAGCAGGCACCTGATTTACAGGCAGAGCCATAAGAACTCCAGGAAGCAAGCCGACCCTCACAGCAGCAGCAGGGTTATCACAGGTGTCATCCAAACCAGCTCCTGCGAGAGCGCAGGCTGCGTGCAGTCGCGATCACCCATCCTGGTAATTTCTTTTTTCTTTTCCATGCCAGCCAGGGATGGTCTGCGTTCCCGCAGCATCCTCTCTGCGCACAGAGTCTACATCGCTCACCCAGAAGTAGAGATAAGACTTTCAGAAAGCAAACCCTAAAATTACTGGACTGTGCTGTTTCCATCTGGATGTAGTTCCCTTGGAAATCCCAACCGTCTGGCCCTGTGTAGTTGTTGAAACTGGATGTTTCAATTAGAAGGAGCTCAAGGATTTGGGGAGAACTGTCAGATGGTGCAGAAAGCACGCTCTCTTTCAATATGAAATTTTATTTTACTTTCTCTCATTCGTGCAAATGTTTTATTTATGTATTTTGAATGCACTGAATTTGGCAATAAATAACACACGGATTTATTATATGGAGGATCATTCAAGTTAAAATGGATAGTTTGGGAGGAATTCCCAATATTCCAAGATTGTATCTTAGTCCGCTTCCAAAAAATATGCAAAACCCCTCAAGAAACCCACATTATTTTTACAGTTATCATACAGAAGGAAGAACAGCTGGTTTTGCTACACTAAGTATTTCTACTTTTCTCACACCTAACAAGTTTCCAGTTACTTCCTCATGTCCGTATCAAGGCTTAAAACTCTCTGTTCCCTTTTAGTTACAGCATATAGGCATTGCAGTTTATCATAATGTTTTTTCACCAAGTTATGTTGGATAAACTCATCTCAGAAGCAGGCTAAGAGCAGGCACAGAGCACAGCTGATGGCTGCTATCCTGGCCAGGATTTCACCTGTAGACTCTTCTCCCTGGCTCTGCTTCCTCCTATGCATCTCAAAACAGTGCTTATTAATGCACTGCTGATTTGATACCAAAGGACTAGTCAGAAATAATCTGCAATATTGATTCATTACAGTAAGATTGTCTGCTAATAAGGAACTATTTTTTGCTACATAATGTGCAAAAATTGGCTGTATCCTCATTTTGAAAAACCCAAAAGAAAAAAAAAACAAAAACAAAAACAAAAGAAAGTCTTTCAAGCTTGCTATCAGATGTAAATGTTAAGAACACGAGATCTGATGTTAAGGGCTTCATAAACTCACTAAAGCAAAAGATCAGCTCTTTTCATCAGGCTATTATTCAAACCTTTACCATGCAGTCTCCCATATATTTATCTACAAAGAAAAGCAAGCTAGTAATGAAAAAAAAATCCCCATCGCTGTCTCCAGAGTCACCACAATGCAATGACAGAATAAATTATCTGGGGGCTCTTTCAATTTTCTCCTGTTTAAGAAAGTAGCACAGAAAACAAAGACAAACTCATGACCAACTGCAGCAACGAAACATGCTGTTCCAACCTGTATGGAAGAGGATGTCTTTTTATTAAAAGAACCAAAGTGGCCTACAGAAAGAGATCCACACATTAAAGTTCTTTTTTGTTTTGCAGGATTTCACAGCTAATTTCTCCTCCACTGAGCTGTTATTGAATCCACCTCAATCTTCTTACTGGAAAGAAATTTTTCTTCTTCATGACACTGAGCTGCGCTTCTTCATGAAAATGCTGGTGTCATTACCACTGAAACACCATGAGGTTTTGGTAAGCCCATCAAAACGTTCACTCCTGCAAATCAAGGACTGAATGTTTTGCTCAAACCTCAACTGTCTAAGGAACTCTATGTTTTCATCTATAAATATTCAATGTTTACACTGAAAAGGAGCAGCAAGTAATTTATGTTCAATGCAATGGCAAAGGCATGGAAACACACTGGTTTCTAGATCCTTCTGTGGTGCTCTTCTGGGGGAACAAAGTCCAGGAGATGACAAAACTCTCCTTTACAGATACCACTGGCACTCAGAAGGCCTCACCAACGAGAGAGGCAAATCCTGAAGAGGAACGAACATTAAAATGCATTTAGTTCAGTCAGAACTCTGGGCCTTGGGAACGTGTTTCTCTGAACAACACAGGATAATGCATGGAGCAATTATTTTTTGCTCCTGACCAGGCAGTGCAGTGCCAGAACCTGCACCAGTTAGTGACTGTTAAATGAAGCAGCACTGCAAACTGGCAAACATAAGGGAAAGAAATGCGAATACAAGCTGTTGTTTCTGCCATCGCTGTCATCAGTCCTCCTATCAGCCTTGGGCCAAGCCAGTCAAGGATGCTCACATGCAACAACCAAGTAATAGCCCACATGAGACCCCCATTTAAGGACTACAGTCATAAATTCACAAAAGAAGATTTTTCCTTTACTCCATGGTTAGTTTACGATGACAAAGAGTCAGAGACTAGATTAGCTCTACTTTGAATTCAGGTTCAGCCTGATTTTGTCCAAGGACATTCAGAGACAACTGAAGTGGCCAGCATCTGCCATAACTGCAAAGAGATAAGTAAAACCCTGGCAAAACCCTTGCAAGGGACAGCAGCAAAGCTCTGATTAAACATTCGCACTGGGCTTTTGGTTTGAATTCGCTTTTCATTTCTATCTGTGGTGCTCTGCGCAGCACAAACTCCATGCTATCCATCTGAAACCAGCAATGCTACATGCAAGGCTGTTCATGACCACATTCTGTCATTATTATATCTGATTCACCATTACTACTTGGTAATATTCCATCCACACAATTAAGAGTTTTGTTTCATCCCCTACACACTGAAAAAAACCCCCACCAAAACCACTAGAAGAAAATTCTGTATTGACTTTTCTGCATATAATTTCTCCTCTATCACCGAGCTGCCCATAAGTGTAGCCTTTGGCAGTGAGAACTGGAAATTAAAATTATTTAGGGTCTTGTTTACCATTACAAGAATCTTTCCTTGTTTCTGTCCTAGTAGGAGAAGCTAGCAGTCATGCAGAGGAGAACATCACTATTTGTTGGCTATACGGTGTAATAGAAAGCAAGCCAGCACAGACTGACTCAGAAAGGAAGGGCAAATGTTCATAAGAAAGTAAACAAAAATTAACAGAGTGTTTCTGAGGGAACCGGTGTAGCATCCAGGCTTTCTGGCTGTTTCTCTAGTTTTACACCAGAATATCCCCAATGAAATCACTGGTCGTGTGTAAGCTTAAAGCTCTAGTACTAAAAGGTCCATCAGGCCCAAGCGTAGGCCAAAGGTCTCTCCTAAAAAAGGTGCATTTGATTTTAGAAGGAGATATTTGCATTTTGTAAATAAACCATCATCTTTAAGCTTTCTGCACACATACACCTTAAACCCTGCCTGGAAAATAGGTCCAACACCTACATCTTCAGAAAGTATTTTGTCCTTCCTCTGTAACTCAAAACGGATCTGTTATTAAACTGACACTTTGCAGCTCACTGGACTGTGTGGCTCTTTGGGGAAAAGCAAAGCAGAAAACAGTCCAGTTGTTTGGTTTAACAATGAAGTTCCTCACACATGCATGCTAATTTATTTAATTGAAAATGTCCCAACTAATTGCAACATTTACCCTTAGAGCACATGCATGGCAGTCACATTAATACACCAGAAGACAATGGCTCCAAAGGAGCTATTACCATGTACCAGGCCAGTAATCCACAAACAGTGAAGGATTTTCACAAAAGACTCAAATGGTTTCCAAGGAGCCATTATGGCATATCAGGTAAATAAAATATTATTGAAATGTATTTTTTGCATTTAAATCACTTGCAGCAGGTGCACAGGAAGTAGCATATAATAAAATGGCTCACATTCCCTTGAATACTAACGAGAATCAACGGAAGCATTTAACAAAAAGAAGCAGCAGCAGATTCTTACCATTGCGAGAGGAACAATTCCCACAAACATTGTTCGGCTGACAAAGATCTCAGAGACCACCAGTTCACTCAGAGAGTCATCTCGAGGGTATTCCACCTGCCAAGTAATTTGCTGGGCCCCTGCCAGGCTGCTAGTGTTGTCGATCTCGAAGTCCATCTGCAGGATCTCGTAGGAGGACATGTTTGCTCTGGAAAAAAAAAAAACAAATTTCCCACAACATCAGCAGGATGTTAATAACAAAATATTTTTTTATTTCTCTTTTCTGTTCATCAGAAGAGTAATCATTAAATTCAACATACAAACTTGAAGACACTGACAGAAACCTAAATCAAACTACAGACTGGGCAACGGCTATACTTTATAGGTAAGGGGACACTGTATCTTTTAGTTTCCTGAAATGGAGGTATTTTTCCCATTAAACTCAGGCATGCATTCTCTGTAATCACAATGAATTTACAGAACAAGCCCCAAACCCTGGGAACTGCATTGCACAGATGTTGCTAAATTATTTAATATAGCATTATTATAATTTTGTTTCTGCAAATACTGATGTTCCGAAACAACAGAATACTTGGTCGTTCCTTATGCTGTATCAGAAATGAGCTCTTGGGGGGTGGGGTGGGAGGAAGTAGTCTTTCAAACCCAAACTTGTCTTTATCTCAGTGAAAAAACAGATTTGCAGAAATTCTACATGACAAAAAATGGGGGGTAGATTATTTTTCAATTCATGAAAACGTTCTTCTCATCAGTGGTGCAGATTTGTAATTATATGGTGATCATTATACATTTCTCATCTGGAAATAAAAGTTTAAAGGTAAAGAAATGGATGTAAATGCACAGTATTCAAAACTGTATTTAAAAATTACTTCTGCTTCTTTTGTTAACAACACCACTTAGCACTCTCCTCTGGCCCAACACTATGTAACTATTAATAATAGAAAGACAGATCTTATCTTCATGTTGCAGAGAAGAAAACAGACACCAAGATTTAACCAACACCACTTGGCATATCCACAGCAGGGACCTATTTAGAAAACAGACCTCTGCTCATCCAGCACTTTACTCCCACAAAAATTAAGGTACTTTACAAAGCAGCATACAAGTTCCTGCCGCAACTTCCCAGACAGACACCCGCAGTGTGGAGACCTGATGCAGCTTCAAAACATAGGGGTGGGATGGGAAAGGCAGCTAACTTCACTGCAGACCCAATTGCTTAATCATATTCTGTTGACAAGACAACCGATGTTATAAATATTACTGAAGTTTCACGGTAAGTGCTCATAAAATAGGTTAAAGCCTGAATTTGCAGCATGTTAGGGCATTCTGTAATGACATGAATGTGCTCTTACCGTGAGCATGAGAGCGCTTGTTCGCAATCCAAGGACATGTGCTGTGCACGTTAGCACCCCTCAGTAATCACCCACCCTCCAGCCTGTCCCACGGGACACTATTTGTGTGCCCTTACCCTATCATGACTCCAAGAGCTGTGCTCATAGACAGTTTTAGCCTGCCACTACAAAGAACAGAGTTTGTGTGCCGCTACAAACATCCCTTTCCTCTTCCTAACTGCACAGAGGCTGAATCTGGGTTTGCCATATGTTTCTGAAGGCGCATTGTAAAGAAAAAAAATCTGAACAGGAATTATTGATTTTCATGTTTTTCTTTCTGACAATAAACACCACAAACATATGCTTCAATGCCTGGAGGATAAATATTTTCCATGCTGACAGAAGATAATATCTACCTCCAGGCAAAACTAGATGCTATTAAGGCATTTTTAGGGTGGCCAACCAGACAATCAGCAAAAAACTTTTAAGAGAAATATTATTACACAATATTAGGGATGTAATTAAACCATTTCTGTTAAAAACATAACCACTGTGGGCACCACGATGTGGTACTCAACTTCATAGTGTTCTGCATAGCACTTCTCGCAGTTTGTTTTATCTAAATTACAGAAGATAAATGTGCTCACAACACAAATAAAGTTTAGAGATGAGCTTTACACTAACAATGCATCTACATATTTGGCGGGTCAAGGTATGTTTAGATCTGCAATTTAGGTTCAATCTGTTAAAGTCAATAGTTGCCACTCACAAAAACACCAAGTGTCTCAAATTCCGAACAAAACCACTGATGGAGGGTTTTGCTTTAGATTCACCACTTAAATAATACGTAGGGTTAGTCTCACTGATAAATCCATTCCACATGTCCCACTGATTGGCACTTCTTTGAGCTCGGTCCATCATGCCTTCAATTATTCCTTCCCTGTTTTCCTTTTTACGCATCCAAATAGTAACCGTAATAGTGTGTTTATATTTTTAAGACAGACTGGGACTCAGATCTCCCTAAGAAAAGCATGTGTGTGTCTTGCCTATATAGAAAGCTGAAGTAATTGCCAGGGAGTAAAATGACTCTTGTGCCTGTAAATATGTGAAGACCTTCACTGCATCCTTAGCACGGCCGTATAGCTACAGAAGCATAAAAACATATAAAAGCATAAAAACCTAAGTCTCATTTAAAGGCAGACATGGTTATACACCGCTAGATTAGAAATGAGTCTCTGTGCATCTAGAAAAGAGCAGCAACTCACATACATAAACCTTCTTCAGATCTCACATTAACATGAACTGAAGTAAAGCTCACTTCCTGGGTCCTGGTTCCAAAGAGAATCCTCCTTATCATCACCTGGAAAAACAACATTGCTTGTCAAATGTTTTCTGCTTTGTCTCAGAAGCAACTCATGTAGCATGACTTATTGATTAAAGAAGGATCCACTTTTTCTGAAAGAGATGGACTTACTGTATCTAACCACCTTTCACTTACAGTTTCTCCACTGAGTACATAGCTTTAGCAAACCAGTATTCAACTTTCTGAACTCCTTTATTCACCAGCAGGTTTCTAGTTACCTATGGAACAGCAGGTCAATGAATTCTCTCTAAAATTATTGTCTCCCTTTTTTTCTCTTTAGGACAAAGATTCAGCCTTCAAGCAATGCCAAGTGTTACAGTATCTGGGACACAGAGTACTCCACAGACTAACCCTCTTTGTTCTAAGTCTCTTCCCAGGTTACAACTATAATGGGCCCATGATAAAGCCTGGAAAGTGAATTTCTTTCTTCCTCAGACTAGTGCCTTCCTGCTGGCTGCTGCATCTCTTATCCTACACAGGCTTCTCTCCTAGCAGGAAGACTGGTACTATATTCATAATTCTTGCAATTGATTAACCATCCTCTATAATACCATGTGGGAGACCACTGCCTTCTTCCACTGAAATGGATGGAGGTTGCTAAAGTAAAACCGGAGATAAATTAAACCATAATCAAGACCTTAAAGGTTAGCTCCATTAGCTGATAAATCCACATTGCAACACCTGTATCTAAATTTCTCTCCTGGCTATGCGGCATTACACTATAACACTATTTAAAACAAGTCGTTCCACCCTGCCATGGCAAGTCTTCAGCTTTTAGTCTGATTTGTAGCTGGTGGCCGGTACGTTGGTCTTTGTAGTCACTGTTGATCTGCAACTGCCTGGTGAAGACAAAACACTACCAGTGGGAAAATCCACTAGCAGAGAAGACGATGACTGTAACTCATGCTGTTATCAGCCATTAAATCCTGCTAAAGGAAACTTATCCTATAAAGATTTTTCAGCTTTTTCTTGAGACTTACTCCATTTTCCTCTTAAATAAGTTTGCACTATTGGGAAGAGTCTGATGGAATCCAAGGACTATAAATCACTTCTCCTTTCCATGTCTTTCTTCTCTTTTTAGTTAAATATTTCTATTGTTCAGTGAAATCTTTTCCTGGTTTAGAAGGATTTTGCCAAACTCTAGTTTAGAGGAGCAATAAAAAATAAAAAGTCAGAATTACTTTTATAAAAAAAGATTATTTCCTGCAAGCACAAGGAAAAGACCTTATAATTTTAGGCAGCTGGCATGCTTGCTAATAAGTCCATTTCTATGGAAATGAGTTCATAACTATTAATTTTGCCTGCTCCTGATCTATTCTTGATGAGCCTTTCAAATTTAGAAAAGCGCTTCATGATTCTCTCAATTTGGTAATTACTAACTCCCTTTGATGAATCCAGCCCAGTGTTTCAGACATGAGACATTCATTACACATTATTCTTTCTGCTGAGAGGAAAAAAAGAAACCATGGGCTTGGATTTACTTCCTCTCGCAAACATAAGTAGGCCCTCTTCTTCAAATTGCAATTTATAATCCTATTTGTGTACTTTCACAATAGTGCCTCTGCTAGGTGTTAGAAGAACCCCTAAAACCTTGAGATTTCGGCACAATTTCCTGCTGCCTAGTCTCATATATATCTAATGCATTCAAACCAGGTCCTCAATAGCCCAGCCAAGCTTTGTAACATACATATCTTCATTCTGCACGCAGCAGCTAGTAGGCATGGTTGTGATCCCAACCTGCAATGGAAAGGAATGGAGTTTTAGCACAGAATGGTAAATCCATGCCAAATAAAGGCAACTCTAGCTCCAACCAACTCCAGAACAAGAAGAGTTAATCAGGACAGGACAACGTCGCTAAGACCCAGAACTGTCCCGCGAGGGACACATCCAGGCGGGCAGCTGCAGGCCTGCCGAGCCCAGCTGCCTTGCTCGGCTTGCCGAGTTGAACCTGAAGTGTCTCCTCTGGGTGTACGTTAAGCCACAGAGGAGCGAGCACTCCACCCAGAGCCAGAGCCTCACCTCAGTTAAAAACACTCTCCTGGCGAATCAACTCACAGGTTCCGCAAACCACTAGAAAAATAAGGCCTGGGTTTGAAGTGCTCCTAAGCACCTTAGAGAACTCTTGCATTACTGCACTCCGATGCACTGCAAAGATTCACACCGTTTCTGGAGGGCTATCTATCGTGTTACCTTGTTACATATATTCTGATTGATTTCCTTCCTGAATTTGCTAGCATATGCAAGAGTAGGAAAAATATATGTATTTTAAATCTGAATCTAAAAAAATCCAGTATCAGATTTTGTTTTGCTACATTTATTACCTTATTAAGTATTTATATGGAACTGCATCGGCTTTCTTTTCCACAAAATAATAGATTACTGTAAAGATCCACCATCACTCTAATGTTAGAGATTTTTATAAGCACTACAAAATCACCTGGCATTGAAATACTACTGAATTTAATTTATCGCTAATTTTTGTCTAAGCCAAACAGG